CAAACGTTTATACCTACATCTCTTTGAAAATAAAGTCTTTTAGGTTAGTCAGACTTTCAAACATTTTGATCAGGCAATATGTATGGAATAATGTGCCAAAACCAGACACAAGAGGGACAGAAATTGCACAAAGAAAGTACATGCTGATCATGACAATACATTGCATTAGAGCTGAACTTTACAACACCAGACTTATAACTGCCAGATGTGGAAACTGCTTTTCTCTTCTAGACTGGGGTACTCTTACAAACTATTATGCACGTTCATATATATGAAATAGTTCTGAACCAGTATTTGCGAGCTAATTCAGGTCCCAGAGGGAGTATAAGCGCACTCGCATAGCACTCCAACAGAGATATAAACCCCTAAAATAAACAACCCCACTCCAGAAGTTTAGAAGGACACACCCAACTACCAAAATCATCATTTGAATTATCAAAATTGAGTGAATAGGAACTGGTTGCTTGGAATTTTTATAATTCAGATTTGTCTCCTCCAAACTAAGTATTTTTTCCAATTATTCAGGGTTTGCCTATATGCATATTGTTGTGCTTAACAAAGACATCACTGAAGATGAAACATGCATGCTAGGAAATGCATGTACAGAAGATAATGAACCACAAAAAAGAGCTTTGCAAACAACAGGAATGTGTATTGCACTTTCATGTAACTATTTTAGAGTGTTTTCTATTCTATTAAGCTTTCTGAAAAGGCAGACAATTATTAATTCTACAAATATACTGCAATTGCTTTTGACACGTGCTTCCTTAGTCATGGAAGAAGAATGCAAGAAGAAATCAATGGGAAAAAATTGCTGGGAAGAGTGAAATTGCCTTAGGGATTTTGGTCTATGTAATACAATGGCCTAGGAATTCTATTTATAAGGAAGACACGGTATTTATATCTATTGATTTTTCAGGGACCTCTTGGGGTCTGCAGCCTTAAAATTTCACCTGTCCTAGAAGGGAACACATCTTTTGTGAAATCTGGATGTTCTTCAATGGCATTATGCTTACTGAACAGGAAATATGGTGTAAAAGAGGCGAAATAACCCCAAATTTTGTGCTCCCTTTGCAAGGCTATAAAACTTCCTTTATCATTGCACATTTCATACACTAAGGTTGAGTACTCACTTGCAAACTAGAGTTTCACATTAGGGGATCCGAATGAAGGGCCAGAAAAACATCAATTATGACAGCTTGTTCCTAAGACCATTTAAATTGTCGCCCAGACCTTAAGATAGTTTAGAGTGGTCTCAGGACCTCCATGAACCTGGCTATAGCTTCAAGACTCAGGTCTCCTAGCAAGGGATTATCAAACCACAGAGTATCTCTGGAAATACATTCTTCTTGTTGTTCATATAGACTATGCTAGGAATGAATAAACTCAAAGGGAAAAGACTGACAGAGGCTCTATCTCCACTATCCCCGATCTCTCACCTGACCCCGTTCCAAGGGATAGGTCAACTGATATTGCATGCTGCAAAATGTTTATATGGTTGTGGAGCAAGGGCTGGGATGCAATCACACATTAGTCAGTTATCATCCCACTGAAAGATATTGACAGTGGACGTTTTGCAAAAGAGATGACCTGTATGTGTATAAACCAAGGCATACTTTTTAATAAACAAGCAGTACACTCCCTTTTGAAGCTCCATTCTAACCTGCTTTTAACTCCAAACTTTTCTTTAATATGTAGGAAATAATATGCCAGTATAATACAAAACAAGACAAAAATGTTTTATTCATAGAGCTTTTGTATGCCTTGATTACCACAGATTTTCCTGTACCCAGGCCAGCTGGTACAATATGTACTGTCTTCTCTGTTTTGTTGCTGTTTTCTCATATTAAATATGTCAAAGCAATAAAAGTTAGTAACATAGGTCTGATGCATAGTAATGAAGGTAGAACAACAGTGTAAAATGGTAATATCTTGGTAAATCAATATGTTTATGGCTAATGATAAAAAATATGAAAGATTAGGCAAGAGTGAGGTCAGTCAGTGGTACCACAACATGGCTTTGGCTGAGGATTATTCATAATCATTAAAAAGATATCTGCATGCTACTTTTCAAGTCAAAATAAATCCCTCTTCTTGTCCTACTTTGCCTGAAAGCCTGAATAGATAGCAGTGCCTGACTGCAGAGGGTACATATGGGGATGCTTAAATTTAAACCTCTCTCCTCACCTTTTTGGTATAGTTCTGTCTAGCAGGCTGTTTCTGGGCCCCACATATTGCTGTTTCCAAATCTCCTGAGACAAAGCAAAATCCACCATCTTTAACTTTCCCAAAGGCCCTTTTAACAAATTAAGAGCACTGTCTTGGAGACTCACATTTAGCTTTGACACTGATAGCAATGATTTTGCAAAAAGAGATTCTAGTTCCTCTTTTCACATACCAGAGAAAGAAACTGAGGAAGGCAAAATGTCTGTGTCCTAGCCTGGCTCAGTTACCTGTTCACTTTTTCAATGCTCTTTCAGATTTGGTTGGAGTCTTTACACGTTTGGGACTGCCTCACACAGTTTTCTCTCTGAATAATGGAATATTTTTGCTTCAGTCTCTGGTGGCTAGCTTATTCTCTGTTTGGTTTCTTCTGCCTCTCCTTTTCTAAAATGGCTGCTGAAAACCCTTTTCATTTCTGCCTCAACTTTCTCTTGAAAACCTATCCCTCCTCCCTCCCTTGATCCATCTCATCAGTTAATCAAAATCCTCATCTACTTGATAGCTGTTAGCTACCCTTATATCGCAATTCAGATCTGAACAATCATTTTTTTTCTGTGCAGTAGACAACTATTTCTCTACAAGGGCTTTTGGGTGAATAACAGACCATTGCTGTAACTTCTGCTGTTAGCAATATGTTATCAACTCTGAATTTTACCCAAAGACAGAGGTTCAAATACCCCAAAAGAGACTCTACATATCTAAAGTACAGCTTAAAGGATGACACACATATTCATAGAGAATCTCCAGATTCACGTTGCCTTCTTTATTTTTTTGCTTACCAGCTTCAACAAGGAACGTGTCTCTAACCTAAGCTGTACAGATAAGTATTGCAAGGCATCTTTTGCTACTTTTATTTGGATGGACAAAAGGGATGTTCTTCATCTTGGGCCATTCTCTGAGCTTGTAAATCATTGCATACACTTGTGAGGGAACCCAGAGCTCTGAAGTGGATGTTCCTGGATTCCATAAAGAAGAGTGGAAGGCCTTCACACTAAAAAAGACCAGGTTTTGTCTGGGAAAAAACCCACCATAGTTTAACTTTCTGAATAGAAAACACTCAAAGTGACTACAGAAAACAAAGTAGAAATAAATAGCTTTCCTAACTGTCTTGGTGTCCTTGCAGGCGGATCCTTACCTTCAGCCAGCTTTCTCACCGGCAGCTGACTTCAGTGCTAGGACTCTCACCACAGGAAATCTTCTGTGACAAATCTTCCTTGAGGTTATCATTCGTCAGGGTGCGAAGAAAGATTCAAAACACGTGTTTTCACCCTGCTCCATTATAGATTCTGAAGGAACGGCCTTAATGTTACCAAAATTTGGCTTACAGACCAGCCTCTTGCTTCTCATTTCAGCCTCAGTGAATTGTACCCCTTAATGTTCAAGACATCACATAATCCAAAACAAAGGGTGAGGTTAAACTCAAGGCTGCAGATCTGGTCGCTAGCAAGCACAGCACAGAGTCCATAAAACGAAACAGAGCAGTTTGCTAAACCAGGCAATACATCAATCCTTTATGCTACGTACACTTTATTTACAGGACATTTGCAGATTCAGAATGATGATGAATGAAGCCGCAAAACACAGTTTGATTTTCATCACTTCAAGGCAGAGAGCAGAATAAAAATTGTGATTTTATCTTTTTTAACCAAGTCCTAATAGTTAATCCAGAGGCATTTCTTTTTGTTTACTCAGTCTTGTTTCTTATTACTTTCCCACCTTCTGCTTTATTTTATAGCCCTATGTCCGCTCACTGAGTCTGGGGAGTACTCTGTTTTACATGCACCGCTGCATGGACAGATAGGAAGTTTTACCAAGGTCGACAGATGCTAACCTACTCACAGAAGACAAGTTGCTGCAACTTCCTAGTTTGGCAAACAATTATTCTTCCACGGTATCAGTTTGGGCAACATCAAAACTGCAGTAAAATGTGCATTCTCCACAAGAAAGACAACAGCAAGAGCATGATAATATTTTATAAATATAGATATTTTCTCTTCTCTCATAGTTCGCATGGAATTCGGTAATAATATCAACCATGGAGTCACTTAGTACAAACATCAGTCAGATACCCTGACCTAACATTTAATAGGTTGTTTTATATAGAGATTTATCTCTACATATTTCTACTTCACCCAAATCTTGATTCTTGTAAAGTATCTGTTATTTCCACTGCCAAAAAAATCACTGATCCATATGATTTGACCTCTTAGCAAAAACATTTTCGTGTCATCTGTTTTTGTTTTCCAGAAATCCATTAATTGTGCATAACCTCTGCTTAAAAGCAATTTTTATGAGAAAACAAAAATATTTCTGTATTTCTTTTCATCATGTATCTTAAAATGCATAAGCAATGCCACTGCAGTATCACAGACTGGTCACACCCTCTCCTTTTTCTATGACTTATAAAGTTGGTGTTAATAGTAATGAATGGTTTGCTCAAGATCCTGTTCATTTTTGCTGAGTGCTAGGAGAAGAAAGTCAAAGCGCATTTGGATTATCATTTGCACAGTTCAATTTCTTACTGTAACTACTCAGCAACTTCTTAAGCCAAATGAAGCAAAGAATTCTGGAATGGACATAGTCTACACGATGAAGTCATCATTCCTAAGCCATGGTGCTATATTTAAATTGTATATTGAGCTACAGTATCCCACTCTGGTATGAAGGGCAATTCAGAGTCAGTGATGGAAAAAGAAAAAAACATTTCCCCCCTTATTCTAACATTGTACAATATCCATTGTTTCCCACACTGCTAGTAGGAAAATGTATGTTCTTACCCCACAGCCTATTCCATTGACTGGTTCACATATAATTTTCCTCACTCCTGGTTCAGGAAGCAAACCCGCTCCGCAGCCGGGAGTTGGACACAGCACTCCTCCCATCTGCAGCACGCACTCCTCGGCCCCATAGTGCTGATAGCGGTTGTACTACAATACAATAGACTGGTGTTAGACTTCCAATGGCACACAACCCTGCCCCCCCCAACTTTGAGCTTGAATCAATCCCACATAATCAAGTCAACCGTCCTAAGGTCTCACATGCTAAGTTTGGGTTATTTGTCAAAAGTCTAAAACTTTGCAATGTCGTTAAATGGGGTGTCACTCCACTCCAACTCCAGCTGCATCATTTTCTGACTTGCAGTTATCATTTTCACCACCAGAAAATTGTGTGGGATATTAAAATCAAGAAAACAGCAGACTGTTTCTGTAAGTAACCTCAAGAACTCTTATATTGCTATAAAAAATTATTGTAAACATCATAAATATATAGTCCAACAACAGATACTGATAAATGCTGTATACAGATTGAAAAGAAACCCACAAAAAACCCCAAGGATCTATACGTAGAAGTACAGTATAAAGTTTTAGAGCTAAAGGGTTGTAAAAATTGCCCAGCCAACTTTATTTTCAAAATAAATTTCATGAAATTGATTGACAAAATAATTCTCTGATATACATTTATTTCAATGTTAGGTGTAGTTTTTTCCCAGGGTCTCCCAGAAAATTGTCTTAGTTTTTGCAGTTTTCATCTAGTTCCATCCCGACAGCCTAAAAGGATATGGAAATGCCTCCATTTCAATGATGGAGGCACTGACACACAGCCGTATTAAATAACATGCTCACTGTATCCTCACTGACAAAAATGCCCACTCTAAAATGACTGATGTGATTGCAGTAACTTTCCCTGGTCTAACTTACCCTGCTTTCAGACGGAGATAAGCTAAGCAAGCACAAATCATGCTGCGTACATGTAAATCGCGTCCACTCTAGAGTTCTGTGCTGGTGCAGTTCCCCACTAGTGGCTATATAACCTTTGTAAACCAGGCTTCAGATTCGCCTATAAATCTGGTCTACTGTAGAGTGAAATAAATGAAAGCATTTGGTCCTAACAGCCCCAAAGAAAACAGGAAAACCCAAAAGGCCAAAGAAGAAGGGAGTAGTATGAATTTTCTGCACAAGCAGAATGACTTTATGGTGCGCTAAAGGAACAAAACAGAGCTTTATGTTACAGCACTCACAACTGTATTTAGTGCTTCATAAACTTTTCTCCCATAACTGCCCATGAAAATCCTGTTCCCTTTTTTTGGGGGAGATAACAAACAAAAAATTCTCTCCCCAATCTGCACCCCGCTCCAAAGAAATCCCACAAGGAAAACTGAAGCAATAGGACCAAAGCCTCATATACAAAGGATACAAAGAAGAATTTTAAATTACAGACAGGGGCTCCACTGCATATTTTCTGGGTACATTTAAGAAGATTCTCCTGCAAATGTTGCCATAACATGTCATGTTACACTGGCTTTCTAAAAATAGTATGCGACTTCTTAAAACACTCTAATATATAGACAAAAAAGTGTTGCATCCCAGGAAAAAAAAAAAGTTTACCAAACTGAAAGTATCGACCTTTGTCAATTAAAAAAAAAAATCCAAGCAAACTCCCTCTCAAAAGAAAAACAAAATCCAAATGGAAAGAAAGCCTTCAAAATAACACTGAGTGTATGAACGGCAGCCAGAAATCCTGAATTAAGAATCTTGGATCTGGAAGATACCAGTATTTTGAGAAATGTACAAGACATGTCTGCAAAGTCTCCTTGAATGAGGGGCTCAACAAGTCAACTGGTGTTTTTCTGTGTTATTGTTATGCTCGAACCTAGAGTAATGACATAAATATTTAATGTTAGACTCTATCAATTTTCAGTAAAGTTTGTGATCCTTGCACTAAATACACGCTGAGTGCTCTGAGTTATTCTGCTGGCCTTGAACAGAAATACGGGTAACGACAGCTGCAAAACTCTCTGCTGACCTAATTTTTCTTCAGGGCAGAGACTGGACCTAAAGGTGAGGATGGCAAATGTCTTACCCCGTTAAGAGGAAACATTGTGCTGGATGTAGGATTGTTAGCAGATTCTCATTACAGAGGCAAACACCAGTGACACTGTAGCTGAAATTCTGTCAGCATTTCCATTATAAATTCTCAGCTGAAAGAAAGGATATGCTTTCGATAAGTCACTAACTTAGCATAAAAGGGCATGGAGAGATTCCTCCTGTCTCCTCTCCTTTTTTTTTTTTTTGATACACGAAAATGTATGATAGGTAAGATGAGAATCAATCTGTCTTGTTAGAGAAAGTTACGAAAGGAAATGTCCAGTCCATCTACTGGCAAGGTGGACAAAGCTGTCGTAGTCTGTCCAACAAATTTGACGTTTTATAGTGGTTCAGCACAGGACTCATGCCAAATCAGTACAGCACTCTCATCAGTGATTGTCACACTATAAAAGCCAAACAAATGATCAATTTGAAGACAGGAAAGATCCCACTAAATGCGTTTGCACATCTTGACATCTAGTTGCCAGCCTGTTTTCTACCTTCAAAGTCCAGATACATTTATAAGATGTCACTTTCCAACTTCTTTTTCCCTGTGCCTGTACACTAGCTCGCTTAAAACCCAGCAACCAACTAAAACATGTAGTAGCAGAACATATACACGTTTGCTGCCATAACACAGTCATACATAACATATGCGGCTTTATATGCTGTATTCTGTGGCCCGAAACAAAACGACCCACTTTACATTAAGGGTGCATTTATAAAAGGCTTGTAAAGGACCAAAACACTTAATCATGAATTATTAATTAACTATTTGCATATAGTGACAGATTATATCTATTAGAGGCCTTTTCTTCTATATACCACAGCCATACATATCACATAGTACTGATGCAATCAACATGCTTAGAGCAAGTCAATTTTCAAAAGCCCTTAAATGTCTTTGGACCCTGTGATGCATTTTTGATCACATGTCTGGATGAGATATTTAAGGATATTCCTGCAGACAACTACCACTGGTTTACTTTCCCTCTTATTCTCAACTGGAGATTTAAAGTAGGATTCATTTTAGTTTGGATTTCCGCAGTGATGACGCCTACAGTTGCACTGGTTGTTTAAACTCCTTTTATAATTAACAGGAGAATTAGGATGCAATTAATCTTTTCTCTTTTAGATTTGTACATTAGCATGAAAAGAACTGAGCCCTGGAGTGCCCCGTTTTATTACCTATAAAGAGAGATCAGACAATTTGCTAGATATTGACACCTGAAATTAGGTGACTCCCTTAACAGGTGCTTCAGTTCCAATAATTCTGCTCCTAAATCACCCGGCCTAAGCTATGTTTGAAACCAAGGTTTAGGTACCAAAATAGCTTAAACTGTGAACCACCTCACACAATTTTAGTTCTTCAAAAATTAAACATCTAACCTAAACGACTCATATAGGCTCCAAACATATTGAGTGAGAAGAAACAAGATCCCAAGTAGGGAATTTATCCTGACTTACATGCGATATCTAAGATAGGTAGGATAAGTCACCCTGTGGAAGTGCTATAGTTGAAGCTGAAAAACTAACTTAGGCTATACATCTAACACGTAAAGAGCTGTCATTAAAAGGTGAACTTAACTCTTCTGTACATTCAAAATATTTCACAATATCTATTACTTAATTACCATCAATGTGCCTCCTATTTAGAGATGCACTCATCATGTGTAAAACAGTTCTGCATGCTACAAGGAGGAAAAATATCTCCAATTGTTTTTAGGAAAAGCCTCTTACGAAGTGTAATATATGGGGAACTTAACTGAACTGCCATCCATGGCACCTGATTTCAATTCCTGTCAGCAGCACAGCCTTCCTGTGGTTTTCACATAAGTCACTTAATCTATGCTTCTCATCAGTTCCCCATTTGTAAAGAGGGAGAATGGTACTTGCTGATTTCACTGTAGTGTTAAGAGGCAAAATCCATTAATAGTCATGAGGACATCAAATACTATGGTAATGGGGGCATAAAATTACACAGAAATCACCAGCCGTCTGCTGCTGCTAGAAATCAGCTTTTGAGCAAAGCATGTCAGGCATTTATACGCTACTGTAATAAGGTCCTCAGAAATACAGGTAGGTAAATAGTTGCCAGATTCACCATAGAACCATATATTTCAATGCTTATTTGAAAAGAAAAAGGCTTAGAAATATGATTTACTCCAAACCACTAGTGCTAAGACAGCTAAAGGTATAAGAATAAGGTAGTCATAAAATATTCTGATTTTTTTTCTCTCTGACAACTGCATCCTGTCATGAACTTCAGTTTGTGAATTGTCCCAGTCAACCCAAATCTATACTTTTCATGGAATAAAATTTTGAGTGGATAAAATTCCCAGCTCTACTTATTTCAACCATATCATGAAGTTCTTTCATGCAATCTTTGCTCATAAAGATTTGTCAGGGCCTTTAGAAATGGTTTTTATAAACTATTATAAATTATAGTATGACATAAGACACGGAGGCTGGATAATTGTAACCATTTATTCTCTGCTCCTCACTTTCCAGATTGGGATGGTTTCCCTTGAGTCTTAGAATGGTACCGGGTTTTCAACCAGTGGAAATTCAATCATTTGATGTTGTAAATCAAGGGTGGTAATATAAATGAAATCATTGGACTGACACAGGAATAAAACAGGTTTAACTATGGATTGCAGTCTTTTCAGCTACTTTGAGATTCAGATAATAAGACAAAACTGAAATCATAGAAATGCCCCTGGGTGCACAAAACTTTCTGAACACAGCGAATCCTTGTCATGTTATTTAATCTCTCCTTTATGCTTTAATATCATAGAATCATAGAATGGTTTGGGTTGGAAGGGACCTTAAAAGATCATCTATTCCAACGTCCCCTGCCACAGCACATGTGCCTTGTGCTATTTTAATTTTGCTTTTACACTTTGGGCACAGTTTTCTTTATTTTCCCTTTTTTCCTCACACCTAAAAGCATCTGCTCAGTAGTAGCCTCACAGGGAACTTTGAACAAAAGTTTAACAGTAGATGTAAAGCCAAAATTTCTAATCTCTGAAACGTAATTCGATTACTTGTTTCTTTTAACT